CCTGCCTCCTGCGCCCGCGTCCGCCGCTGCAGCTCCCTGGGCCACCCCCGCCCCCACCCCCCACCCCGGGTGCAGCTACGGTTGGGATCCTGGGTCCGAATTCCGACCCGCTGACGGGGTATCACGTTCTCGCCTCTCGGCGCGGGAAGGAGCTGGGCTCCTATACTGACAGGCCGAGTCAGAGGGTGTGGAGGGACACGGCCGGACAAGAGGCTTCCATTCCGGCTTCGGGTGTTTTAGATCCTTCTCGTTCTTGCCAGAGGCAGGAGTGGGGGCCCTTCGCGGCACTCCCCCCCTCCTCCTCCCCCGTCCCGGCCCCACTGTGACTTCCCAATGAGTCACACAGGGCCGTCGCCCAGCACCAGCCTGCCAGCCACCTGGAGAAGTGTCCTGCTTGCCAGCCCCAGCCACAAGTCCCCGGTGTCCAGCCTAGGTAGGCAGCCAGTACCTGAGGGCTATTTCCTGCTGGCTCAGCAGGTGTGGAACAGGCCTGGCCCACCATCCAATGAGCCCAAACCACGCCCTCTCTTCAAATTCGTTTCTTCCTTAGTATTTTCCCTCAGTCCTAGGGTATTCTTTAGAGTCTTCTTTACCTCCTATGCCTGCCAGTATAGGAGCCCAGATAATCCCCTGTTATAAAGTGGACCCGACACATTTTTTGTTTGATGGAAGATGAAGGGAGTTGGGGGATGGGGAGGGACAGTGAAAGAGACTACCACACTAAAGGAATTTTTAAAAAGGTCAGAGAAGCCAACTTGGGGACTAGATGCGAGAGCTTAGTAAAACTACTTCTCTCCCCCTTTTTAAAGATGGCCAACGTAGGAAATAAATTTTGCAATTACTGAAATCATTTGCCAGTGATGGATACGTGGCAGGTATGGAAATGGAACTCATAGATAAGTTATATTACAGCTAAAAACAACAGAGAATAGCTTCTGGATATCGCCTTATTACAATATCCAACTGAGAGTATAAAAACCTTGAGCAAATCATCCCAAAATGGAGCAGCGTCATGGACTCTTTCCATCTTGCAATTCAACGAGGATCATCCTACTTGTCTGCTCACCTGCCCATGAGGTGATTAGATGTCTCCTGTCGCTAATGGGGGCGGGGGGAGGGGGGGACTCCAGCTGCCCAAACAAAAAAAAGTCTCCCTCTGCGCTCCGTTTCTCCATCTTTCCTTCTTGATTGGAGATGGGCAAGAATAGGAAGGAAAATACTATTTTTAAAGAATGTTTTCGCTTTACGTTCTCGCTGAAAAGATTCTTTTGCAAATGCAGAATCTTGGTTTGAGTTTTGGAAATAACCCAACTTACCTCTTAAATTTTGATATTGATTTTAATTAGATTACTTTGGTATAATATTGGTACATCTGTGTTTATGTGTGTGTACAGTCTCTGTGTGTGTGTGTGTGTGTATCCATGGGAAGGATGATTTATTCCAGGCTTAATGCTACTCTTATCCATAACTTAAAATAAGTCTCAGGCTCTTCAAGCTGTCCCATCGAACGGCACCAACATTTCTGGATGTTTTGGTTCAAACATTCAGAATACTCAGGAATAGGTCCTTGTTCCCACCTGATTAATGCTGTTCTTTCATATTTCTAGGAGTGAAAGCATGAATATCGCCAAATGTCTTTAGATTTTGCACATGCTGGGAACAAGGCCATTCATGTAAATCTACCAAGAAAGGACTGTGTTCTCTTCTGGGGGACTCTTTATTACTTAAGTATATTTACACCAAGATATACGTACACAGGCATGACCCTCTGTATCCAAGTGTAGTTGAGAAGACACAGGGTCACTAGTGGGAACCGAATCTCATGGCACCTGTTTTTAAACATTCATTTCTTTGTTCTCTGGGTTAGCAAAGGTCAGGAAGACCTGTTCCAGCGTTATCTGACTGATGGAATAATCTTCCAAATCGAATCGGTCTTTAGCATCCTCCAAAATTCCGAACACCTTCAACAACAACAAGAAAGCGGTTGCCCCTGTATTCCTCCCCTCCAGTCCCCAACCCGGGTGAGCCTCTCCTCCACCGACTCCAACTCCTGCCAACTCCCTGTCAGTGCTGGAGGGAAACAGGCAGAATGGATCCTTGAGCATCTGAGAGCGAGCAATTAAATACCGGGGGCCGCCGAAAGTAACTTAACTTCTGCTTCCCCTGGAACCCCTGGTTCCCGTCCCACATTCCACGTAGCTAAATCCCAGATACTTCCCACTATTAGCGGTCTCTTCACGTGTCATGTTAGAGGGGCGTGGTTTCTACAGTCACCTTTGCCCAGCTATTGTCCTTGCTGGGAATGTAATAGTTAAGGTTCCCTTGGTTCTCCTGTTTTAATTCGCTACCTAAGAAAGGAAAGATGGGATAGGTGAGTAATCTTACAGATTTCACTTAAAATTGCCAAAGTATTGCTTAATTATGTAACAGAATGGCAAAGACGACATTATGACAAAAGAGGATGTGAACACATAACTCATTCTCTTCGGTGTACATGACATGGTTAATTTGTTTCAGCAGATTTATTCCTGATGAAAGAGTGACGTTCATAACAATTATGGAGGGCAGGCTTTCAGGCACGCTCAAAAAAACATCAGCTCACGTGGCCAAAGAATGGAACCAGAGCCTTCCGAAATTCTAATGTCACTACAAGACTTTATTCCTGGACGTAGGGCTGAGACTATGAGCTGGAGGATGTTTCGTCTGCGTGTGCACGGTGTGTCTGCTGGGGAGGTGAGCAGGACACGGCCTCCTCGCTACGATTGCATGCCATGTGACCACGTGAGAGAGGAAATCCTACATACACATCCCCCAAGTCAGGCAGTGTGTTCTCGTGTCTTTTACAGGTGAGTTAAGAACCCATTTCTAATTTAGAACAAACCGATGTGTTTACAGTTAACGCATGTTTGCAGACTGCGGATTGAATTAACTGGGATTAAAATGTGTTAAAGTAAAAAAAATAAATACATGTTCATAACGATGTATGGATTTTCTTAATATGAATTTTAACGCATGTATTGCCTCCATGATAATGTAAAGCTCTTTTTTTAATGCGAAATGTTTCAAACAGAGAGCTTAGTGAATTATTCAAAGCGAATACTGGTGAAACCACCCAACCTATGCACATACCCTTAAAAATCTAGGCGGAGTTTTCCTACTTTTGAACTTTCTGTGAATGGAATCACCTGGCATATATTCTTTTCTTTTGGCTTCTTTCATTCAATGTTTGTAAGATTAATTAATGTCAATGCATCTAGCTGTACATATGTAGATTGTATCTATATATTCACTTGCCTTTCTAAATTACAATCTGGTGTATAAATAGTCCACAATTTGTTTTATGATTACTTTAGTAAGTCCTCTTTAAAGTAGACATTCTGGATGTCTTTTGCTCATAGGATTTGTTTCTTCTCTTTAAACATCAATATTTGGGTATAGGTTTCATATCCATTCCTTTTTGATTCCGTCATGTTTGAAGAGCTACTTGTTTAAAAATATTGTGCATAAGGCCTGGGCAACCACCACCTTGGAGTGTCTCTAACCCATATCCCCGTTAAAGGAGACCTTCTGTGTCCACGTTTTCAAGGCCGGGTCTTGGGTTAGTGCTTAGTGTTCCTCCTTCAATAGAGCAGGTGGCTAGGACAGCTCACAGTAAAGGAGTTTTGGTCATAGCTTCTCTTTGTGGTAATTTAGGGGCCACATGAAATAGAACTGATACAATAAGTACTCAAAAATATTTGCCGAATGAATGCGTAAGTGAATGTTGAACCTCTTAAAGGACATTTCCATCTGCATGGCCAAAGGCACATCATAACCACCATGACCAACACTGAGGAATTATTTTCCCACACATCTGCTTTCCACATCTGCTCTACTATCCATTTCTCATCTATTTTCTGACCTCCTTTCTTACGGTGTAACTGATCATGTTATTTTCCATTGCCTGGAGATAAACTTCCAACTCCTCAGCCTGACACACAATGGGAACTTTTGTGATATTTTGGTCAGCCTACCAAATTGGAAACTAAGATGAAAAACCAGAACTATTAAAAGCCTTGCCATGCCCCTGGCTTTATGTTTAGGAAAGAGAGGTAAGGGACAAATAATTTCTGTCTCTGGTATTGTAGCAGATACGCAGAGAGGCGCTTACTGATTTTAGCATACTGAAGCAGATCTATTCTCAAAAGGAGAGAAAAGCTCTGTGGTTCTTGTTTGCATTGTAACACCATGTCCTGGCTGAGTCCAAAAGACCAGAGTTACATGCTTAGCTGGAGGATAAAAGCCTTAAAACTTCACCTGGATAATATGTGAAAATACTTGAGAATTATAATAGTAATTATGACTTTGGGGATATAATTTACATGGAGAAATCCAAATCTGCCTTATTAAAGTGATACAGAAGCTTAGTGTGACTCGTGTGTGTGTGTGTGTGTGTGTGTGTGTGTGTGTGTGTAAAACTTCTTACCATAACCAGGCATAAGAAGTTGTAGAAAGAAGGGTCCCAAAAGGAATTCGGTGTGGAAGTCAATAAAAGTCAATAATCTATAGGAAGCAGTTATTGCAGACATAAACCACATGCACAGTGAGATAGCAAACATGACTTGATATGTCTTGAATAAGGTTAGCCCAGCCCAATTTACCTGGGAATGTAATTGTGATGAAAAATTTTAAATCATCTAATTTATGCTCTTGTGTATCAATCTTGACCTTGATCTTTAGGGTGTAAATATTGCCAAACTTGTTCTTGAGGTGCTGAGGGCTGCCCAAGCACATGAACTTTCCCTTTACCATGATGGCCAGCCTGGTACAGAAGGCATCACATTCCTCTATTCTAGCAAAATAAGATAAAAGAACAATGTAAAATAAAGCACGCTCTTTCGGCAGACCTTCTATAATTCAAACAGTGCTTGCCAACCCTCTTCCAACCCTCCCAATGAGTCACACCTGTGGGAGGTTATAATAATGGCTTTGCCACTTTCACGTGCCCGTGTCACAGCACCCCAGAGCAGGTGGCGGGCTACTGGGTCCATGCCAGTTGATGGCTCATCCAGCAAAATGACTGTGGGTTTTCCCATTAGGGCAATAGCAGTACTCAACCTACGTTTGCATCCTCCACTTCATGATCATAGAAGGAGAGAGAATATAGGGAAAGGGGAAGATACACAAATTATTTACTTACAGGATAACATTGGCACAAACATCTCAAATGCTGAAAGTCTCAGCAGACACTTAACATGGACATCTGTAATGCTGATTACATGTGACGTCAACAAGGTAGCAGGCTCCAGTACAGGTGGATATATCAATTACTTTTTCGTTTGAAATATAGAGGATATACGTTTTTATGTAACCGATTTTGGCAGCGTCATCAGTGGCATTTACTTACTAGTTTTTAGGGTGTCATGATTTCCCAGGTACAGAAATCCCACCCTAATTTAAAGGTCTACATCCCTTCTTTCTTGGAAAACAAAGAACCATATAGACTCTAGGAAGAATATGATGGTCCCCTTTGAGATTCAGAGGCTACAGTTCAAACATAACTAGGATTTTGAGTTTCCTCTCTACAAAGGAAAGGCGTGGGACCATGTAGATCTGTTGTATGACTGCATTTTAACCTAGCGACTCATTATACAGTTTCACAACTAAATAACCATGTGACAGAGGGAGTTAGGTGGAGCCGTGGGCAGGTATTTCAAACATCAGAAACATGGAGAAGCACCACAACATTAGCAGCAGCAACAAAAGATCGGCGTAATGACTCACCTGTAGGTTCTGATAATCTTGTCAGCATGGGGTTCCAGTTGCAGTGAATTCAACCAATTGTTCACATACAGCTGAATCTGGGACTCAGAGATTCCCCATAATCTGGCATACATGATCATTATTTCGCGACCAGTCATGTATTCCAGCAAGGCATCAGTTTGAGGACAATAGCCAATTCTTGACTTCACCTGATTACAAAAATTGCCTTAATAAGGACCCACGTCATCTGTCCCACTGAGCACGCTTGAATAAGATAGAAGACCATGCTTCTAATAGTACTACCCAAAATTTTTCTTTTCTTTTTTTTTTATTAAAAACAATTGGGGTTACATTAATATTTTTTTCAAATAAAATCAAATAAATTTCAAGTGTACCATTCAACAGTATGTCGTATATATATCGCATTGTGTGTTCACCACCCAAAGTTAGATTTCCTCCCTTCACCATATATTTGACCCCTTTTATCCCTATCTACCTCCCTCCTCCTCCCCCTTCCCTTGGGTAACCACTAATCCACAGTCTGTGTCCATGAGTCTCTGTTTGTTTGTCATGTTTGGTTGTGCTTTTAGTTTTATATCCCACATATGAGTGAAATCATATGGTTTTCAGTTTTTTCTGTCTGACTTATTTTGCTTAGCATGATTACCTCAAGATCCATCCATGTTGTAGCAAATGGCAGTGTTTCATCTTTTGGCTGAAAAATTTTTTTCTAAAGGCTACAAAATTATGGCCACTTGGATCTATTGTAATAAATTGGAATTATAGATTCCCCAATTCAGTTTTAATAATCTTGGGGATGAAGAGGTTGGAAATAAAACTCCACAGCCCACTGAATTTGGAGGAGTATTAGGATACAAGATGCTCGCCTCATTAATAAGAAATTCCAAGGGGGCATGGCCAGCATGGTTGTTCTTGCACAGTCATGTGTAGACCTTGTTTCACAGTAAGGCTGAACCAGAAGCAAAGCCTTTTCCCACTCCGACTAACAGGAGAATTCAATGAGTTTTGCTTTATCAATTAAGCAATCCTTTTGTGGATTTGTTTTCTAGGCACCCAGAGAAAAAGGTATGAATATCAGTTTATTGAAATTAATTAAAAATTAAAAATAATTACAATTATTTTAAATAATTAATTTAAATGTGTATTTTTTCTCTGGGGTTTTATTAATTACTTTACAATGATCTTGGACTATTAATGCCCCTAGACTCTTAGCAGAAATCAACTAAACCCCTTCTTTATTCTGGGTACGAAATTATTCTTCCATATAATTTTTTTAAAGTAAATAAGCTACATGCATAGATAACTCAGCAAACAAGAAAAAAACTAACATGAATGCTGTTAGCAGAAACAATACTCACCAAAAACATATTTGTAATGACTTCAGGTATTAAGGTTAGTAGATCAGATGAGAAAACAGTTAATTACTGTGTTTAAATAAATTTTAAAAGCTTAAAAATATCTTGATGAAAGAGAAAAGTATAAAGTCATACAGACTTTTAGAAATGAACCACATATATCATCTAAAAACAAACAAACAAAAAAAGTTATATTACAATTTCTGTGATTGAGTTTGACAGCAATTTAGTCACAATGGAAAAATTTAACCTGCTGAAGACTGGTCATAAGAATGTACCCAGAATTCAGCACAAAATTAAAAAAAGGGAACTATAAGAGCAATACTGAGAGATAAGGATGATAGACTGGAAATGCAACTAGATAACTAGAATTGTAACAGGACAGAAAGACCAGAACAGGAGAAAACTTGAAAAATTAATAAGTGAAAATGATCCAGGACCAATTTAAAATACTGATAAATTCAAGAATGTCAATAAATTCCAAGAGAACGAAAATTTAAAGATCCATATCTAGGTACTTCACATCGAAGCTATGTAAGACAAAGGGAAAAATTTTAAAGCAGCCACAGGAAAAAAATATTTTTTATATAGACTATCAGACTGACAGCTAATTTCTCAAAAGTAGTGATGGAAGCTAGATGATAATTAAACAACATATTAATCTGCTAAAGAAATGTAATCAGAAACCTCAAATTCTATACACAGTAAAAAAAACTTTTGCCAGTGAAGGTGAATTAAAGGTATTGATAGAAAGAAAATAAAACATGAATAATAAAAAGTTTTCCTGAGACCGAGAGGGAGAAAACATTTGCAATTGCCATTTCTCTTCGATGCTGAGCAGAGGTTCTAGCCTTTGCAGTAAGGAAAGAAAAAAAAAAGCATAGGGTTAGAAAGGAAAACAAATCCTCATTATCTGCAGCCTTCACGATTGCATAAGTAAAGATTCTTATATAACATAAATAAATGTTAGAATTAAGAGAAATTACAATTTTAAATACTGAATACAAATTCAGTATTTAAAAATCAGCTGTACTTCTATAGACCATCAAGTAGTAATAAAAATAAAGTCATTTAATATTAAAACATAAAAATATTGAAATAAATTGTATAAAATATAATTTCTTCATCTTATACCCATAAGATAAGCTGAATTCTCTTATTAATGTCACATCGATGCGCAACTATAAAACTATTATTCTGAGACATTTATTGAGAACGAAATACATGGAAAGATATATTTACTATAAACATGTCAATCTTCTGGAATCCAACTCAAAATTCTTGCATTTGTATGCAAAGATAATTCCTTGATTCATCTGTAATTTTAAAAGTTCAAGAATAACCAAGGTAACATCGAAGAACAAAGTTTTCACTCTAAAATATAATGACTTTTTATGACTATCATAATTAAGAAAGTATGACAGTGGGTCAAAGATGAACGAATAGACCTATAAAAAGAGCACAGTCCAGAAACTGACACATATTTAAGCAATACTTGAAAGCTGATAACCTGATAGTGCAGAGAAGTTGGAGCAAGGACAGTCTTTCAACAAAATGTGCTGGGTCATTTGGCTATCTATATGTTAACAACAAAAAAAAAACAGAATCTTGACCCTTATTGAATAGTATGCCGATGAATTATAGATTTAAATGTAAAAGGTAATGCAATTAAATTATAAATAGGAACAAAGGAAATTTAATGTTTAATTTAAATCCAGGGTAGGTAAGGAGTTCTTAAAAGGACCCAAAAACAATAAACATAGAGAAAAAACAGACTGCATTAAAATTTTTAAAATTTTCTTTGTCAAAAGAAAAATACAAAAAGAATGTCTTTGAATAATTACTAAAAGAAACCTATGTAATTTTATTAACCAATGTCATCTCAATAAATTTAATTAAAAATTGATAACTGAAAGACAGGCAACCCAATAGAAAAATGGGCAAAATATGTGAATATCTAAGTTTCCAATAAATATTTGATGATATATTCAACTTCATACATTATCAAAAAAATGGAAACTACTAACTTGCAACACAACATCCAAGATAAAAAAATCTAAAAGACTGTCAACACAAAATATTGACCAGGATGTAGAATGATGGAAACTGTCATAAACGGCTGTCAGGAGAGGAAATTGGTACAAATCATATTGTAAAACTATTCAGCAGTATTGACTAAAGTAGAATATGCATATACTTTAAGGTCCAGTAATTATATATGTAAGAATATATCTAGCAGAAATGTGTATATATTTGCACCAAAAGTCATGTTAAGCAGTCATTAGGGCACTATTAATACAACTAAAACTCAGAATCAATACAAATGTCCCTCAAACTTGGAGTAGGTAAGTATATTTTTCAGATTCATATAATTAAATGTTATACAGCAATATAAATGAACAAACTACCTCTATAAGTGACAATATGAATGAAGCTCACAACATAATATTGGCTTAAAGAAGCCAGAAAGAAGTACACAGTATAATTATATTCATATAATGTTCAAAATGTTCAAAAATAAGTGAAACTAATATGTGGTGAAAAAAGTCAACATGGTAGTTTACATTGAAATTAATTAATAATTCACAAAAGAATTTACTAATAATAGACAGTGATGAATTAAAAGAGAATAACTAATTAATATTTTCATATAATACAAAGAATGCACACGATAAAATCCAACACTAAGATGCTATAAGCTTGTAGCAAAGTAGGCACAGAAATGAATTTTCTTAAACTGATAAAGTGTAGCTACCAAATATAATATACAGTAGTAGAAATTTAGGAGAATTTCTTTCAAAGGCAGAAAAAAAAAATCCATTATTACCACCAGTATTCAGCATTGGACCAGTGGTCCCACTTTATGCAACAGCACATGAAATGAGGTATGGCAATTGAAAATTTTGATGGCTCCCAGGTAGGAGGAAGGATTGGTGGGGGAGGGGGAAGGAAACGGGGAAGGGTTAAGAAGTACAAATTGGTAGTTACAGTCATGGGGATATAAACTACAGCCCAGGGAATATAGTCAGTAATATTGTAATAACTGCGTATGGTATCAGATGGGTACTAGTTTTATTGGGGTGATCACTTTGTAAGTTATATAAATGTCTAATTGCTATGTTGTACACCTGAAGCTAATATAATATTGTATGTCAAGTATAATTGAAAAATAAAATATATTTTAAAAATGAGAGTAGAAAAAGAAGAACATCCTAAACCTAAAGCTAGCAGAAAGAAGGAAATAATAAAGATTAAAGATAAATAAAACAGAAAATAGAAAAACAATAGAGAAAATCAACAAAACTAAAAGCTGGTACCTGGAAAAGATCAACAAAATTAACAAACTTTACTAGATTGCCTAAGAAAAAAAAGGGAAGATACTATTTATTAAAACCAGAAATAAAGTGGGAACATTACTACTGATTTTATAGAACTATAAAGGTTACAGAGACTGCCATGAACAGTTGCACAGCAATAATTTGGATAACGTAGATGAAACGGGACAATTCCTAGAGACACAACATACTGAGACCGAATCATGAATAAATAGAAAATTTGAAAAGACCGCTAGCTGGTAAGGGGCTTGAATCGCTGATCACAAACCTCCCAACAAAGACAAGTCCTGGGTAAGATGATTTCACCGGTCGGTTCAAGAAGAATTCACGCCAACCTTTCTTAAGCTCTTCCAACAAATTAAAAATGAAGGACAAGTCCTAACTCATTTTCTTTTTATGCGAGAGTCACCCTACTGCCAAAGCCATAAAAGACATGAAAAGGAAACCATAGACCAATATCCCTTGTGAATATTGATACAAAAATATAATATAATATAATATAATACTAAAAACTGTAATTTGGCAGCATATTAAAAGGGTTATATACCACGACAAAGTGGGATTTATTCCTGGAATGTGAGGATAGTTTAATATGTGAAAATCAATCAAGCTAATACACAACATTAACAAAATGAATGATCCACTTAATTGATGAAGAAAACGCATTTGACAAAATTTAACGTGCTTCCATGATGAAAACATACAACCAACTAGGTCAGGGTCAAAATTTATTCTTAGCATGTGAATATCTAGTTGTCCTAACTGCATTTGTCCCAGCACCATAAAAGGACGCTTCCTTACCGTAATAAAGGCCATATTAAAAAATCCATAGCTAACATCATACACAGCGGTGAGAGACTGAAGGCCATCCTCCAAAGACCAAGAACCAGACAAGGATGCCTGCTCTTATTACTTCTGTTCAACAGAGTGTTGAAAATTCTATCCACAGTAATTTGTCGAGAAAAAGAAATTAAAAACATCCAAATTAGAAAGAAGGAAGTAAAACGATCGTTGTTCACAGGTCCTATGATCCCATAGGTAGGAAACCCTGAAGAGCACACACACAGACGCACAAAACCAGTTAGAACTAATAGAGAAATTCAGTTGATTTACAAGACGCACAAAACCAGTTAGAACAGAGAAATTCAGCAGTTACGAGATGTAAAATCAATGTGCAAAAATCAGTTACATTTCTATACATTAACAATGAATAATCCAAAAAGGAAATTTAAAAAATGCAATGTACAATAGCATCAAACATAAATAAATAAAATACTTGGAAATAGACTTAACCAAGGAATCAAAAGACATATTCACTGAAAACTACAAAACATTATCCTATGTACATGGATTAAGAGACTTAATATTATTAAGATGTCAGAATTACCAAAAAATTATCTACAGAGTCAATGCAATCTTTGTCAAAATCCTAATGATTTTTTGCATAAATGGGAAACATAGGGTGGGTTCATTCTAAAATTCATATTGAAGTTCGAGTCCATGATTAGCCAATACACTCTCCGAAAAGAAGAACAAAGTTGGAGGACTCAGACTTCCTGCTCTCGAAACTTGCTAAAAAGCTACAGAAATCAGAACAGTGGCATAAAGATGGGCACATGGAACGACGAGACAGGACGGCTCATAAACACATCCTTGCAAAAATGGTCAAATGATTTTCAACAAGAGTGCCAAGCCCATTCAATAGTTAACAGTCTTTCAACCAATGGTGCTAGGACAACTAGATATTCACATGCAAAGAATGAATTTTGACCCTTACCTTACACTATACACAAAAATTAACGCAAAATGGACCAAAGACTTAAAAGTAAATACTAAAGCTATAAAAGTCTTTGAAGAAAACATAGAAGGTTGTGACATTGGATTTGGCAATGATTTTGAGACTATGAAATCAAAAGTATAAGTAAGAAAAGAAAAAGTACATAAATTGTATTTCATCAAAATTTTTAAATTTTCCACATCAAAGGATATTGGCAAGGCAACCAACAGAATGAGAGAAAATATTTTCAAATCACATATATGATGAGAGATAATTATATAGATTCCATAAAGAACTCTTCCAACAACAAAAACTGAACAACACAATTTAAAAGTGTGCTAAGGACTTGAAAGGGCAGTTCTCCAAAATACACAAATGGCCAATAAGCACGTGAAAAGATGCTCAACATCAAAATCATTATGAGAAATGTAAATCCAACAAGGACATACTACTTCGCACCCATTAGGATGGCTATTGTAGATAAAATAGAAAATAACAGTGCTAGCGATGATGTGGAGAAACTGGAAGTCTTATGAATTGCTGGCAGAAATGTAAAATGGTGCAGCCATTATGGAATACAGTATGGCACTTCCTCAAAAAATCAAACAGGGGGAAAATAAATCAAATGTTAAACAAACAAACAAACAAACAAATAAATAGATAGATAAATAGATAAATAAATAAATAAAATGTTTAAAAGCATTAAACGAATTAAAATCCACTTTTAGGGATGTGCCCCCAAATAATTGAAAGCAGGGGCTCAAACAGATATTTGTACACCGATTTAAGAGACGCGTTATTCACAATTGCCAAAATGTGGAAACAACCCCAATATCCATTAGCAGGGGTCCCCAACCCCGGGCAACGGACCAGTACCAGTCCATGGCCTCTCTGGAACCAGGTGGCACAACAGGAGAGGAAGCTTCATCTGTATCTGCAGTCACTCCCCAGCACCAGCATCACCGCCTCAGCTCCACCTCAGATCATCGGCCAGCGGACTCTCATAGGAGCCCTGGTCCCCGGTGCCAAAAAGGTTGGGGATCACTGCTTAATGGATAAATGGATAAACACGGCGTGGTATACACATATAATGGAATATCATTCAGCCTTAAAATGGCATAAAATCCTGACACATAGGTGAACCGTGAAGGCAGTATGCTAGGTGAACTAAGTCAGACAAAAAAGGACAAATATTACATGATTCCACGGATATGAGATACGTAGAACAGTCAAATTCATAGAGACAGAAAATAGAACAGTAGTTACCAGGGATGGAGAAGGGATGGAGAGTTACTGTTTAACAGGTCCAGGTTTCCGTTTTGGGATAATAAAAAAGTTCTAGAGCTGGACAGTGGTGAAGGTTGCACAATAACGTGTACTGAACGCCAATGAATTGCACATCCAGAAATGTTTAAAATGGTAATTTTTATGTCATGTAATTTTTACTACAACAAAATGGACAATGTTTAAAACATTTCTAAGGCCTGAGAGAATGAAAAGATCACCATGTATCATGTTTCAGAACAGCCGAGTGGGAGACATTCCCCGAGGCCTGAAAACGCTTCCTCGGACTTAACTGAATTAGTCATTACAAGAGGCTCATATTTGCCTGTTCGCCTGGTCTCTTTTTAAATTTGACACTTTTTAAATGTGACAGAGAGACTCTCTCTTTGGTTCCCAATTTAGCTTTTTCTCTTTGGCGCCATCTTCATTTCATCCTTTTTCGTGTTTTCATTTCTCACGGTCAAGCGACTGGTTCCACAACCCTACAGCCCCCAAGTGGGTTGGATGAGGATATTTAGGGAGACCCCACTCATCCCTTCCACCCGCAGGACCTCCTCACCTTCTTTCACCATGTGTCACTTCTTCCTTCTACTTCCTGTCTAGTATAAACGCGACCAAGTTGTTCAATGTACAAAACATCTCCTGCCTCCTTCTCTCAATTCGGTAAATTCTAATTCTTCCCTTTGCGTCACAGATAACTATTTTTCAAAATATGATGCAAATTTGTAGCTACCGTTTATCCTACAGCCCGCAGCTCCCCCATCCCCACCTGCTAGATTTCCCGATGACGGTGTTCAATGAACCCGAAGAGGAAAGAACTGCACCCTGGGCTCCCATCACCTCCACTCACTAACCCTGTTGTGACAGCTCTTGCCAGCTTCACCGAATGAGTTCTAGCTGCTAAAGATAACGGACGCTGCTCAGTGCCTGAGACTTCTTGAAATCTGACCCTTTTGACCATTATCATTTCCTTCTTGAATGTTTCTCCCCACTTAAGTGTCTTTCCCAGTCATGCCTTTCTCCCTTGGTGGCACATACAGCCAATGACTGGCTTTGCTGGATACAAAGGCCTGCTACCTTGTCTCAACGTGGGGCTGCTGGGAAAGGCCATCCACAGGCAGCGCCCTAAGATGAATCAAGGCTTCAGCTGCAACTACATTGCAGGTTGTCGCCTGCTGAAGTCTTTCCTTCCGTATAGTACTTTGTCTGGCATATGTTAGATGCACTGTTGAGAGAATCTGCCTTTTACAAAGAATCCACGAAAAACACTCTTGTGTTACATTCTGCTCGAATTGCCTCGTTATCTCTCTTCAAAAATGCATTTCTCTCTCCAGAATCTACCAAGTCCCCAGTATCAATGCCCTGATTCCTGTCTGTTACCTTCAGCCATCTGCCCATCATCGGCGCCTTGAGTCCTCGTGCTTCTCATCCTAAGACTGCGATAGCGTCTTACCTTCTGAAGATCTTTGGTGATGTTAAAGCCATCGAGGAACACCTCCCCGGAGGTAGCGGTCTCCTCCCCCGTCAGCATTTGGAAGGTGGTGGTCTTTCCGGCCCCGTTGAACCCAAGCAGTCCAAAACAGTCCCCGCATTGGATTGCGGTGGAGATATTTCTCACGGCCAGAATGACTGGACACCTGAAATAGATCTAAAAAAAAATACGAGAAACGCAAGAGAGTAAAGAATATCTGTAGGTCAGATACAGGAAACGCCTCGGCCCCCTGTCTCACAGGAGCTGTCTTGGAATGGGGAGAATACTCTTCAGTCCCAAAGAATGATGGGGGACCCTGGACAGACAGCATGACATGCTCTGGGGAGGCGTGAGACCACGCCTGTCTGGTGGACGTTACCTTCGTGAGCTCCTTGATAAGCACCGTGGAGCTGAGCGACGCCCGAGGCTGCTCCAGGATTCTCTTTCGTTCGTTCTCTACATCTTCATCTTCAGATTCTCCAGATAATTCCTTGGACAGGTCTTTCTGCATTTTTGAGACAAGAATCACAGATGTGGGAGCCCTTCAATGTCAGGTCTAGAGACTGCATGGCTTCGTAAAAGCTAAACTGGAAGATGATCTCAAAGATGTCAAAACAGGAAGTTTGAGTCAACTCAAGCAATTTCTGGATATGGGCTCAACACCTCATGTGCATCTTGACTAAGTGTTTGAATAATCAATAGTTCATCAGTAGATTGAGGGTGAGGACGAGGGAAGAAGGCAAAGTTATTTCCTATGCTAGAAATAGTGTGAATTAACGTGCTACTATGTGTACTATAAATCTTTAAAAGACAGAATTCAAAGTATTGGGATAAATAGTTTTTATCACTTAGACCCTTATGAAGGAAGAAGGAAGCCATTTAAAGAAGATGGGGAACTCTGAAAAACAGTCATAAACTTTGTAATAATAAATACACTTTGTCAAGATTAAACTGCAATGGGAGCTTAGAAAATAAACAAGACTTAACTAGACTTTTCCTAAGAAACTCCCTGAACCATATAGTCCATATTTTCAAAATAAATATTATAAGGTAAAATTGTGTTTTGTTTTGCTTTTTTTTTTTTTTATAATCTTGATTAGACCAAGTATCATCAGGAAACTGATCTCGAGATGTCAGAACAGAAATTTGGCATAATTTTAAAGATCATTTTATCCAATCACTTCAGAACAGATTGATTTTTTATTTCCACAGATTAAGAAATGAGGATTAGCTAGCCTGAAGTTTTTTCCAGAATTGGACACCTCATGGAAAACTGAAGCCACAACTGAGGTCAATCAAGTGTGATTTAGTCCTATCACAGTATGTTCAACATTGAACAGCTAAAGAGGGATTAAGTCTTTCTTTTATGAGGGAGAGAGAAATAAATGGCTGTGACTTCATACAGAAAAATTTAAGACTAACAGAATGGCAATGTGAGGAGATAATGGGCCTGTCCCTCAACGAAATCTGCAATGATTATTTAAATAATAACCATTTAAAGCCTTTATAAATCATGCTTCAAAAAGAGAAATCATACAGAGAAATCAAAAAGAGAAATTAGAAAATACTTTGAACATTTGAATGGTAATAAAAATAGGAGGAATCATTATTTTCAGGCAGCTAGAGAGAACACTGCGTACAGGGACGTGTTTAGCATCGAATGTTTATATTGGAAAAGAGGAAAGACCTAAAAGCTACGGCTTCAGGCTTCGCATAAAGAAATTAGAACAAAAGAGAGAAGTAAACCAAGAGTAAGTAGAAGGAAAAAATTATAAAAATAAAGACCAAAAAAAATCAATGAATGAAAGGGAAAATAGTCAATAAGAGAACAAATCAATAGACGAATTAATAAAATTTGGTTCTTTAAAGTGATCAACAAAATGAATGCAGTTTATTGTAGGTAAATTATACCTTAATATTTTATTTAAGAAAATATATTTCTGTGGACATAGAGTTTTCTTTTCTCCAGGAACTGAGGTAGTCATATGTAGCTACATGCTTTTCAGGCCTAATATCCATTTTCTTAGCATTATTCTTAAGGTCCATGCTTAATTACTCACCTTCTTGAATGTCTTATAGATACCAAAGTAAACGTATCGATTGAAAAACGTCCTTAGTTTCCACAAAATTGACTCCCAAAAGAAAGCCAGGAGAAGGCAAGTAAAACCTATGATACTCATCATAATCATATACTTTCCAATCATTTTCTCCTCCAAAGAATAAACACTCTTTGTGGTATCTGAGAATGACAGAGAGAGAGAGAGAGAGAGAGAGAGAAGAGAGAGAGAGAGAGAGAGAGAGAGAGAGAGAGATATCTTATTATGTTAGGCTATATTGAGACAAAGTATTTAGAATGTGAGAAGTGATAGTTCTGCTACACAAATACCATTTGTACAATAAATTTTGAAGGCCCAGCCTCTTGAATATAATATATGGTCATCAAATAAGCCTATGATTAGTAGCATATTTATTGATGTCCAAAAATTACTGCATGCCATGTAAAACATGCCCAAATCCTTTCAGAAATGTGAAATCTTAAATCGATATTTAAAAGAAAGTATTAAAGTGCAAATACTCTTGTAAAAGATAACATATATGCTTTTAAAAAGGTAAAAATGGACATTAGCTGATGCTTTTTGAACTTTCTTGAAAAGCTGAGTAAAAAGCAGAGGATTCCTGTTATAAGAGAACTATAAATGCTCCTTCCTTTTTTAAAAAATATATTTTAGAATGGTTTTAGAATTACAAAAAAAATTGAGTTCACAGAAGAGAGGACAGAGAAATCCATATACCCTGCAACCAGCTTCTGTTATTATTAACAATATACATTGATATGGTACATGTTAGAATTAATAAACAAACATTAATCCATTGTCATTAAATAAAATCCATGATTTATTCAGATTTCCTAGGTTTTTTAAAAACGTGACATTCTTTTTTTGTTCCATGATCCAATCTAGAACACTACATTTTTAGTAATCATGTCTCCCTAGGAACCTCTTGGCTGTGACAGTTTCTCAAATTTTCCTTATTTTTGATGACACTGACATACTGGTTAGGCATTTTGTAGGATAATCCTCTATTGGGATGTCTGATTTTTTTTTTCATGATTAGACTGAGGTTGTGGGCTTTGGGAGGAAGGTCACAGAGGTCAAGTACCATTTTTATTGTATCGAAAAAAGGGGTTCATACTATCAATATGACTCATCATAGTTGACGTTGACCTTGATCACCTAGGGTTATGTCTGTCGGCTTTCTCTGCTGTAAAGTTACTCCTTTCAGTCCCTTTCCATACTCTATAAACTTTAGAAGGAAGTCATAATGTACATCCCACACGTGGGGAGTGGGAAGTTATGCTCCACCTCCATGAGGATGGAGCATCTCCAGAAATTGTTTGGAATCCTATGGGCGATTTTTCTCTTCATCATTTATTTATTTAGTCATTTCTAATTTATACTTTGGGATTGTAACCCAAAGTATAAATTAAATAATGTGTCTATTTTATTATAGACACATTATTTAATTTATACTTTGGGTTACAATCCAAACCACGTTATTTTGTTGCTCAAATTGTTCTAGCTTTGGCGATTGAACACTTTATGAAGAATTATATTTTATAAATGTTTGTAGCTGACACACAGAAATGCAATCGAATGTTATGTTTGCGTTTATTTTGCATTCATCAATCACATTAAATTCTTATAAAGTCTAATAATTTATCAAGGGATTCTTTTAGATTCGAGTAGACTGTCATATCTAGTATTATCCCACCTTTTCCATTCCTCATACTTTAGAATTATTTTTAAAATCCTTAATTCAAATAGAAGATTATATACTACATATGTATAAATTTTAAACCTAATATCATAATAGAATCTATGAACCCAGCCCCCAAATTAAAATTTTACAAATAATTTGTTATTACTTATTTACTTCTTTATTTTTCCATCTTCCACAGGTAACCACTATGATGAATTGTGTTCTGAATTTCTATTTTATTTAAATGCAAACAGACCATTATATATATACATTTTAGTGAATAATATTTTGTTTAATTTTAAAATTTAAACTTTATAGAAATAGTACAATACTCTATGCAGCTTTTAGATTGTTTTCCTTCTATGCTGTCATTTAAAAAATTTTCAAAAATAAAGTGAAATTGAAATAATAGTATAATAAAGACCATTCCCCCCACCTAGCATCAACGATGTTAATGTTTAGCCGTATTTGGTCCCCACATCTCAGCCCGCCATATGTATATTTTTAATTAATTTGCCTCTGTGATATTTAAAAAACTATTTTCTCATTTTTGTTGCTTATATTTTTATATGTTGGACGTCATACTAGCTTCGGATGACAGTTGGCTATCTCTGTTGTAAATTTTCGTGGACATCAAAACAATAATTTTATGGGGTAGTGATGATGGGTTTGGGATGATTACTTGGTGGCTTACTGTATGAAAGTTATTTTTGTTGGTAAGGTGAAATATAATTTCTTTAATTAACATCATTCTGCTAAGGTGGTGGTGGTGGGGATATAGTTTTACGATCTCCTGAAAACCTTTCTTTCTCCAGTACCCTTAACTTAGGCTATTTTTTCCTTCTTTTTACACGTCAAGCTTCCAAGGGATAATTATGCCTTCCAAGTTGCTCTTCTTCTCAGAAGTGTTGCCTTCCCAAGACGAGACTTTTCCAAAAGTATTGAGACATCAAATCACAGAGGCAAGAAGTTCAGAGGATCTAAGCAAGAAAAACACAAACCTTCCAAAGCCCACTGAGATATATCCTAGTTATCAGAAGAAGACAGGCTGACGGCAAATGATTGAAAAACTCACGATGTTGGAAAATTAATCCTCCAAAATGAAGAAGAATATGGAATGAAAATAAGAAAAATCGATGTTAAGAAACAAACATATAATAAAAACAATGAATGAATGAGAAACCTTGTGTTTTAAAAACACTAACATAATCGATAAACTTCTGGCAAGACTGATGAAGAAAAAATACATGTGGAAAACGAGAAATATTATGAATGAAAATGGGGCTATCACTATAGGATTTATAGATGATAAAAATACCATAATAGGAACAAATTTAATCCAATAAATTTGAAAATTTAGTTAAAATGAAACAATCCTATACAAACTCTATTATTTCCTCTTCCCAAATTATTAATAGGCTACCCAAATAATCCTATCTTTCTTAAAGAAACATGATCAATAATTTAAAATCTCTCCAAAGAACAATCTCTATGTACCATAGACTTTATCATTTATTTTACTATTTAACATTATAAATTTAATTTACAACATAATTAATAATTCACCATGTAATTCAACAGAATAAATATGTAATTCAGTAGAACAAAGAAGGAAAACATTGGCCCATCTCAACAGAAGCAGTAAAAAGCATCTGATAAAATTGAACAATTATTACAGCCACTATGGAAAATAGTATGGAGGTTCCTCAAAAAACTAAAAATTGATTTACCATATGATCCAGCAATCCCTCTTTTGGATATTTACCCCAAACACTTGAAAACTCGTATCTGTAAAGATATTTGCATACCGATGTTCATAGCAGCATTATTCACAGTGGCCAGGACATGGAAGCAACCGAAGTGTCCTACGATAGATGATTGGCTAAAGAAGCTGTGGTACATATACACAATGGAATATTACTCAGTCGTAAGAAGACATGAAATACTGCCATTTGCAACAACATGGATGGACCTCGAGATAATCATACTAAGCAGAATAAGCCAGACAGAAAAAGTTGAAAACCACATGATATCGCTTATAGGTGGGATATAAACCTAAAAGCAACAAATGAACAGGACAAACAAACGGAGACTCGTGGACATGGACAATGGACTTAGTGGTTACCAGAGGGGAGCGGGGGAGGAGGGAGGAAAAAATTTTAATTATTTCTTCAATTAAAAAAATGTTAAAATGTTAAAAAATGTTAAAATATTTTTAAAAATTGAACTCTTACCAGACACAGGATAGAAAGGAATCCCTTAATCCCAGGAACTAAGACTCCTTTGAATGACAGCCTTGACCCACAAAAGCCATGTGAAATAGGGCTCACAGCTTGCCTCGGTGAACAACGTTCACTCCAAAGCTGGAACCAACTGGGTATCTGCTATCGCCACCTTGGCTCGATTTGAACTCTATGTCCTCAACAAAAGAGTGAGTCAAGAACAAGAAATAAATGTATATGAATTGGAAAAAAAAAATACACTGTTAGCAGCTACTGTGAATGTACTCTTGGAAAATGAAAAACAATCTACCCATAAAATTATTAAAATTGATAATATAATTTCAGTATAAAAATGAATTCTTTTAACTATATTTCTCTGTAATGGCAACAGATGGTAAAAAAAAATGACACTTTGAAAAGTGATACTATCTAGGATAGCATCAAAAAATGTGTAGGAATAAGGCTAACAATGTAATTTCAATATCTCTAAACCAGTAACTATTAAACAGTATTAAATACAAATAAAGAAGACCTAAGTAAATAAATGGAAGGCCGGAACCAAATAAGCAAAGGAATGTACCAAGTTTACAAGCTGTAAAACCAAAAACCGTAGATATATCTTTCAAAATTGTTCTATAGAATTAAATCGATCTCAATAAAAATCCTAATAGATGTGCCGATTTTAAACGTATATGGAATTGCAAAGTATCAAGATATAGCCAAGTTCCTATCTCAAAACCTACTACAAAGCTAAGGTAGTCAAGACGAGGCTGGTACTGGAATAAGGATAGGCAGAAAGATAAATGAAATACAATTAAGAGTCTATAAATAAACCCAGATTTCTAAGGTCAAGGGATTTCAATAGGAGTGCTAAGGCAATTAAATGGGAAATAGTCTTTTCAACAAATGGTGCTGGAACCACTGGATATCCATATGCAAAAGAATCAAGTCAGAACCTCATCTCAAACCATACACAAAAATCAACTAAACATGGATCCAAGACCTAAATATAACAGCTAAAACCATAAACCTCTTAGGAAAAAACATTGAGTACTCCTCTGTGGCCTTTGATTAAGCAATAATTTCTTTGATATGACACCTAAGGTGTACAAGAAATCAAAGAAACAACCGATAAACTGGACGCTAGCAAAGAAGTAAAAAGGCAGCCCACAGAATAGGTGAACATATTTCCAAATTATATATTGTAGAAGGGTCTCGTTTCCTGAATATGTAAAGACAAATAGCCCAGTTTAAAAAACAAGCAAAGAATTTGAACAGATATTTCTACAAAGATGTACGAATGGACCACGGGCACATGTGAAGATGCTCAACATCACTGGTCATTAGAGAAATGCAGTCGAAACAACGAGATTCGACTTCGCACCACCAGGAAGGTTATAATAAAAAGGAAAATCACAATCGTTGGAAAGGATATGAAAAAATTGCAACCTTCCTACACTGCTGTACAAAAATAGTCTGTAGAGACTCAATAATATCATGACTTTTCATGTCGCTAGATTTTACATGAAATGTTTCTTTTCTATTTTTTCCCTGCTGGCTCCACTCCCTGGAGTTTATTGTCATGCAGTTCACGGCTGTTTGAGTACCGAGCTTCCTTCTGAGCTCACGGCTATTGCTGTCCGCAGGAGCTGGCTTACGAGCGCTCCTCCCTTCTCGCTCTGCCCACTCTCACCGAGATAAGATATTTCAGAATTATCTAATAAATGATACGGTGCCACAATTAGGGATTTCTAAGGTTATGTACTGCTCCTTATCTCCCAAATCATTAGACCCTAATCTTTACCTATTTATTAAAAAAACAGGTGAGTTCCTCTAGTACCAGCTACTATATCAGACACGGGGCAATGAACTGCATCCCTTCCTTCACCTGGAGGTCTTTGCCGTACAAGATGTGAATAATGCAACGGAAGAACATAAGCTTTGACTCCCAGCTCTGGACCATGAGAGCTGTGTGACACAGGGCACAGTCAAGTTCCCTCAAAAATGAGTGTAAAAACAAATCGCCTGAGGGTGTGAAGATTTAAAATAACGTAGGTCATGTTACTAGGCGGTTGATTATTGGCGGCCCTAAGCTCTCTGTCTGCTGACTGCTTTCAACTTATTTGGGGTCTGCCTTTGAGGCTGTTTTATATTTACAAAGGTTTTTCCCTAGTCTTATAAAATGACTTCGGTGCTGAGCACGTGTCCTGACTCCCTCCCTGTGTGTGTCACGGGCTGAGCCTGGGATGGATTCCCTGGACACACGGGGACTCCCAAGGTACTTACTCTGTTTATCACAACTTAAGAAGGCAGTATCTTTTATAATGGAGCACTGTTTCTTCATCTGGTAGTAAGTAGTATAGTAGGTGATGCACTTCGCCAGGTTGTAATTGGGAAAGACCAGCAATACTTTAAGTATGAAGGTTCTGGTGGCATTTGACACGCTATGTGACATTTCTAAAAAAAGATGATAAGATTAGGTTTCATTAGAGGAAATGAACAAAATGCCTCCAATTTATGACCAAACCAAGCTCAGGGAATCAAAAACCAGACAACTGAGAAACACTGAGAAAGCCCAGTGACGAGTCTGCAGGCCTTTCAGACGGGGACCGATGGGGCCCTTCGATTGTTTGTGTGACATTCCCAGTAATGCGTCAGAGAGGCTCCGCAGGGAGTGAAAACGATGGAGGGCCCCAGTTTGCAGATGTGTTTGTCATCATCTGGTTTGGGGCAGTTACCACTACCCTCAGCTCAAAACTTCTTGGAGGAAACAGGTCTTTTTTGTAGAGCCTCTGTGTGCTGGATTACTGTACACTTACCGCGACAGTGGCCATGCTGGTTTGCCAGTGTATCATCTGGTCAGTTTTTTTAAAGACTCCATGTGTGTTTAAAAAAGTATTTGGGATTCTACATTCTCTATATACCCATTAACTCAAGTTTATTAATTGTACTGTTCGATAAATGTCATTTATTGATTGCCCCTGCTTAATCCACTAGTTACAAGCGAGGTATGCCAAAATCTCCTTTTATGATGCTGTATGGTTTGCCTACTATTTCGAGTAGCTCTGGAAATTTTGACTGAATTGACGCCTAGATCACTAGGTAAGTAAAATTTTGTAATTGTTACAAGTTCATGTGCGACTGAATCTATCACATAGTAAGCCTCTTTATCTCTAGTGGTACTTTATCTTAAAGAATGTTTTTTTCTGATATCGATATAGCCACTCGAGTTTTATTTTTCGTTAATATTTGTTCGATATCTTTTTCCATTCTTGTACTTTCTGTATCTTTTTTTAATAGTGTCTCCTATAAACAGCATAATGCTAGAATTGGGGGGTGGGAATGTGATCAAAAATAGCGATATTTGTTATTTGAGCCTGTTTTGTTGCTATTTATTTTGATTACTGATATATTTGGGCTAATTATCATCACGTTACTTTGCGATTTATTCTCTCTCTATTGCATTTTTACCTCCATTCTCTTGTCTTTTGGATGTGATTGAGTTTTTTCCTCCTTCTTCTTCATTGCTCATCTACTGTGTTTTAGAAATTATACTTTAAAAATATTCCTTCAGTGGTCACCCCGGATATTTAAACATGCCTACTTAACTTTTCCCCTGCTTCAGAGATCTTTTTAGCATTGGCGTTCTGAAGTTTCATGACGATGTTTGGGTGAGGAATTTTTAAAAGTGATTCAGTGGGCTTTTTGAAATTCAAGATTTCTGACTTTCTACAATTCTGGGAATTCTCAGCCACTGTATTTCTAACACGACTTTTCCCTCTTCTATTATCTATTAAGTTCTTAATTTAAATTATTATTCTTTTCATTTTTCAATACTCTAGATGGATCTTTTTCAAATCTACTTATTCTCTATATGTATAACGTCCATATATATGCAATATATGTATATATAGTACATTACATGCATGTGTCACATAAATGCTCTATTATTATGTATTGTATTATTTGCTCATATACCCGAGGCCCTGTTATTATTTAAATATCTTAAAAATACATGTTTTATATTGTTTTAAAAAATCTCCAAATCTTAAATTTTGCAGGTCTCATTCTGATTCTGCAGTTTGCGGTTTCTGCCAACACTTGCTTTTAAGCTTTGTTTCTTTCATTTTCTTTGATCTTTGTTCTTTTAACCTGATCTCAAGTTCTCTAGATAACTGTGGGAATACTTTGAAGTCTGGGAAGTGTGTATACATTTGCCACTCACCTGGGGGCACTCAACTTGGGGTTATTAAAATAGACAATCAGGTTATGTTTTTTGGCTTACATAGGGAGGATGATATCAGGAAACAAACCTACGGGAGAACTCTCACCTGGTTACAAATTCCAAAGGTAAACTACTATTCTTTATATCAGGGCCAAATTCAATCTTTGTAAATTTCCTTTGTGTCCTATTGCGGTGCTGGGTAAATTTCGTTCACCCTTATAGGAAGCTGCTAACCCTTTGTTGTAGGTACTTCGGTGCTTTTGATTCTGCCCTCTGTGCTCCTCATAACTTATGAACGTGTAAAATTAAGGTCGCCAGATCCTGTCAATAACCTCAGGTCCAAGCTACCTTTAGTGCTGACTTACCTTCAAGGACACGCACTTTCTCTTTACCGTCGGCCTCTGCCCATCCCACACTTTCTTCTCAGTTCTCTGTTTTTGGCAGAGGAGCACACCCAGTGTTTGTCCTGCTGCTGAAAAGTGGAAGTCTCCTTTGACATTCTAACTGCCAAATCTACTGGCTTTTTTTTTTTTTGGTTCTCATCCTACATGACTCTGTGACATATTCCTCCCCATCCTGCTACTTCTAATCCTCTCTAGCTCCTTAAATGATGATTTCAGCCTAGGTCAGGGCTCACAAACGCAAGTGCTTTCGGGTGAATCTTCCCTGTATAACGATATTTCTCTTCAGAGCGCTGTGCGAAGTACAGAGATACCCGCTTTCTGGAATTTGGGAATCCCTTTGAGAATGAGAGCTAAGGTGACTCTCTTACAAGTTCTTTTTCTGTCTGCTACCAGAGGCTTAGGTCTCACTCATGCGAAGTATTCATTGATTTACGAGGGCTGGGGCCAAGGGAGCCTGCCCCTGGGGAGCCTGGCGACGGTGACGGGTGATGAAGTGCTTCGGGCCCTTCAAACTCGCGAGATGGGGTGATGCGCCCACGGAGTGATACGGTGGCACTTTGAAGAACTCTATGTATAACAAGGGTCAATTTAGTGACCGTCTTTGCAGGTCTCGAAGTCAGAGAAGGGAAGGGAAGAGATACAAACATAAGAACACCGCAGAAAGCAGCCCAGAAAGGAAGGGAGACTGGCCTAGGTGTAAGCATGTCAGGCGCATTGAGAGTTTCTCCCCTTTCTGGCAAATCTTGTTCGGACGCTCAGATCCTTTGGCTTTTTCATTAAACTAGGGAAGAGGAACCACAGCACAAGCCTTCCCCGAGCAGGACTGCGGCCTCACCCAACAACTCAAGATTCTCTCCACGGCTCCTTTTCATCGCCTCACGACCAAGTGCCGCGGCATCAAGGGAGAACGCTGGTCAAGGTCATTGAGGTCTAATGGATTTGAGATACAATCGATGCTAACTTCTGGAGGCCTGCCCCTCTTCTCGAGGAAGCTGCTCTTTGGTTCTTATTCATTCTCACTTTCTGTCTCTTTCTCTGACAAATGAGTCTCAGGGACAAATGCTCCTAAAATTTCCAAAATCCTGTCTGAAACAGACTCCCTAAGTCATGTGGCAGAGCTAGCGGCGGTGAGGTGAACGACGGGAAACTTCTGTGTCAAAGGACCTGTACAGCGAGTTCAGCTCCGTCACTCTGGCATGAAGGTCCCAGCTCTAGCACAATGCCTGGGGTCTCACAGGCACTCAAAATCATTTTATTGACTCACAGCCAGTTCAGGATTTTCTCCCAAACCCGGAACTTAGTTGTCTACTAATATCCTTGGCCCATTCTTACTCATTTATTAACTGCTGCATTCTGGGGAAGGAGGCACGTTGTGAGGCCCTTACACTTACCAAATTCGAATATGCTATCTATGAGGAGACTGAAAATGCCAGAGAGGTAGTTGAACAGCACAAGTTTGATGTAGGCGGAAGTACTTTTAGTGAACAGGAAGCTGAGCAGGTACATGAGGGGAATGGCGGACCAGCCGTACAGCGTGAAGATCAGCATCGTGTCCAGAAAGTGGTACTCTGTGAGAAATAAATCCAGTTGGCAGTATTTGAACACTCCCTGAAACACAGACGATGCAGAGATAAAGGCAAGTGAAGCATAAGTGCAGAAATAATTCAAGCCAGAACGTTTAGACAAGGAAATGGCAAGTCCTATCTTTATTTAGCTTAGAAGTATTCATTAGTTAAATCATTTGGCCTTAAAAAAAAAAAAAAAAAAGCGTTAGCCATCTCTTCTTCACCAGAAGAAGTCCAGAGAGCAGAAGCACTATAATTCCTTTTTTTTGTACTTGAAACAGATTTTTTTAAAATTCATAAACAAAGTCAGTATACTTTCCCCCAATAATCCTAACTCTCAACTTTTCCAGAAAGTAGATTATTTCTCTAAAGAGAGACTATTTTTTAAAAGATGTTTCCTCTTGACTGTATACTTCACCCATCACTGCTACCCATCTCTAAACTGGGTCTCCTGTTTCTATTCTATTCCCCTTATTCCCATTACATTCACCCCAGCAACTCTGGAACCTCCTTCTGAAATTTTTAATTGAAATAAAAAACCAGATGATGACGCACACAATTAGAGGGACCTAAATTGAATGGATGGTGGTCAGGTGATGAATTTGTACTTGTTAAAGGAAAGACAATTCTGGAAATCTGTATCTCATTAGTTAGTATTGCAGTTTCTCTACAAAAGTCAGAGGTGCACCTTTGGGCAACTGCGTAATTACGTGGCAGGACAACCAAGAAGTAAACAGTAAGGTTAAGCTAAGAATAGTCATTATGCAATTGATGACTGATGTTCTTGGTGCTGGCAGCGATAGCAATAGGGAAGATTAGCAGGTCACAGTTGAATTCAATACCTACAGCTATGGTTTTGTTTCTGAATAAGCATACTGTACACCTAAACAGAATAACTACAATGAGGTAATCAAAGAAAAGTTGGGGTGATGTAAGAATTCCTGTGTTTGGAGGTTTATAATCCTTCAATGTCACAAATCATAACCTATTTCAAAGAAAAGTTGAATTCCTTGTTGGATAAACAAGCAATATACTCCGTACTTGGATGAGAAGATGATGTATTGTGAATATGCAGATTCCACCCAAATTAACCCTTAAATGAACATGCAAATAAGGTGTTCATGTAAATATTTTGATCTCTTTATTATGAAATGTAACACACGTCCAAAAGAGTACATAACACATAAATGAATTATCACAATGAATTACAGCAAAATAACCCTGTGGGCAATGACCACAATTCTAGTACCCAAAGAAAGCTACTGCGAACTCCCCAAATTCCTGTAAAAGGAACCACTCTTCTGATTTTTACCATAAACACTCTTTTCTTTATATCTCTTAACAGTGTGATCACATAGGCAGGTCCTCTAATATTAATGTCGTTTTGTTCAACGTTTTCATTATAATATTGATGAGATGCTGTAGGAACTTAACTCTTTTTGTTTATATCAAGTAGACTATGGTAGAAATGGTTTCATTATATGTTATCTCACTTAAAGTCATAGAACCCATTGACGACATTGAGGACTCAGTGTGCAGTATTATCTGCAGTCTGAACTTTTAATCAATGTAATTGTACCATGTGCACCCTGTTCTGTCCAGCTTCTTTCACTCAGCATTGTGAGATTCAAGATTCATCCATGTTTTTGAATGTGGCTCTAGTTCATTCTTTATTATTGCTATACCGTATCCTCCTTGGTATCACAACTTATTTTACTTTTGATGGATAATGGGTTGTTTCCAGTGTTCGATAATTAGTTTGTTAGGGCTGCCACAATGGAAATAGCAGGAACTGGGTGGCTTAAACACCAGAAATTAGTTTTCTCACAGTTCCGGAGGCTGGAAGTTCAATATGAAGGTGTCAGCAGGGCTGGTCTCTTCTGAGGTCTCTTTCCTAAACTTGCAAATGGTCACTTTTCTGCTGTGTGCTCACATGGTCCTTCCTTTGTGCTTGTACACCCCTAGTGTCTTTGTGTGTTCAAATTTCCTCTTCTCAAAAAAGATACTAGTCAAATTGGATGAAGGCCCACCCTGTTTCATTTAACTTAATCACCTCTTTGAAGGCTTTCTCTCTCTCTCTCTCCTTCCTTCCTGCCTTCCTTTTCTTTCTTTTTTTCTTCTTTTTCTTTCTCTTTTCCTTTTTTCTTTCTTTTCTTTCCTTCCTTCTTTTTCTTTTGAAAAAATTTTTACCTCTATTTTCGATTGTCATACAAGTAGTACATGCTAATTGTGCAAAATATAAGGATTAAAGATAGAAAAATCCAAATGATCCCACCAGCCATATACAAATGTCATTAATGGCATATTGTTTTCCAAATTTTAAAAAATCGCTTTGTGTTATGCCTTTGTAATTCGATTTTAGAATTACCTTTTTATGTACGTATAGTAGAAGCATTTAAATGGTTCCACGGTGTTTTATTACACAGATGTATTTAACAGTTCTTTTTAAAAGTTTTTTTTAATTTTTCAATACAGTTGACCTATAATATCATATTAGTTTCAGGTACATAATATGGTGATGAGACATTTATGTAACTTATGAAGTGATCGCCCTGATAAATCTAGTACCCACCTGACACCATACAGGTGTTATGATACTGCTGATTATATTCCCCATTGCTGTACTCTACATCCCCAATACTATTTCATAACCACCAATTCATACCTCTTAATCCCCTCCCTCACTTCACCTATCCACTCCACTCTCCATTTGGCAACCATCAAAATGCTCTCTGTATGTAAGAGTTTGTTTGGTTTGTTCGTTTATCCTGTTATGTAGATTTCACATATAAGCAAAATCATATGACATTTGTCTGTCTATGTCTGACTTACTCCATTCAGCACAATACCCTCTAGGTCCACCCATGTTGCTGCAAATGGCGAGATTTCATTCCTTTATATGGCTGAGTCATATTCCATTGTATATATGTAGCACCCTTTATCCATTCATCCGCTGAGGGACACCCAAGTCGCCTCCCTGTCTTGGCTACTGTAAATAATGCTGCAATGAACATAAGGATGCACATGTCCCTTTGAAGCAGTGTTTTGGGTTTCTCCAAACAAATACCCAGAAGTGGGATTCCCAGGTCCTTCTTTGTCTCTTGGTACAGCCTTTGTTTTAAAGTCGAGTTTGTCTGGTATAAGCATCGCTACTCAAGCTTTGTTTCCATTTTCATGAAATATCTTTTCACATCCTTTTACTTTCAATCTGTGTGTGTCTTTTGATCTGAAGTGAGTCTCTTGTAGGCAGCATAGGTAAGGGTCTTGTTTTCTTACCCATTCAGCTGCCCTATATCTTTTGATTGGAGCACTTAACCTGTTTACATTTAAAGTAATTGCTGATAGTTAGTTATTGCCATTTTATTATTCGTATTTTTGATCTTTTTTTCTTCTTTTCATATAAGTCCCTGTGACAATTCTTTTAATACTGGATTGGTGGTGAAGAACTTCTTTAGCTTTTTCTTGTCTGGGAAGTGCTTTATCTGTCCTTTGATGCTAAATTATAGCTTTGCTGGGTACACTAATCTCGGTTTCAGGTCCTTGCTTTTCAGCACTTTGAATGTTTTGTGTCAATCCCTCTGGCCTGCAGAGTTTCTGTTGAGAAATCAGCTGACAGTTATAGGAACTCCCATGCAGGTAACTAACTGCTTTTCTCTTGCTGCTTTTAAGATTCTCACTTTGTATTTAACCTCTGGCACTTTAATTACGACGTGTCTTGGTGTGGCCCTTTTGAGTTCATCTTTTTAGGGACTCTCCATGCTTCCTGGGAATGTATGTCTACTTCCTTCACCAGGTTAGGGAAATTTTTCATCATTATTTCTTCAAATAGGTTTTCGATTCTTTGTTCTCTCTCTTCTCCTCCTGGCACCCCTACGATGTGAATGCTGTTACACTTGATGTTCCAGAGGCCCCTTCAACTATCCTCAATTTTTCGGATTCTTTTTACTTTTTGCTGTTATGATTGGGTGTTTCCAGCTGCTTTACCTTCTAAATCACTGATTCAATCCTCTGTAAAGGCCCTATCTTTAAATATAGTTACATTTTAAGGAACTGGTGGTTAGAACTTAAACATATGACTTTGAGGGGATATAATTCAGCCCATAACAATTATTACAAATATAATGATTCCAAAGATTTTCTTGTACGTGTCTTAAAATTTACACACATTTCTGTTGGGTACATAACGGGAAGTAGAATACCATGCAGCAAGATGGAGGACATGCAGAGATAGCACTTCCTACGATTCACTCTAACTCGTGGATCTCTGCACTGGAGAGTTTCTCTCTACATTCCCAACACAACTCGCTACCACATCCTGCACAGAGGTCCTTGGACACAGTATGTGTATATGCAGTACATGCAGAGAAAACTCCCAGATGTCTCTCAACCTTGGGATAAGAACATTTATCTTTTTTTTTTTTATTCCCAGAACATACTCAGACATATGTCTACCCTATAGGCCGACATGTTTACATGCCTATACACTCACAGTTTTGAGAGTACAGTGTATAGAATTTAAATAAATCCTCTCAAATACTCTTAAGAACAAAGAGAATAAGGATAGAAAGTGAATGAAAAAATAAATGAAAAAGAATTCAAGAGATGAGTAGACAGGGACGGAGACAGGAGGAAAAGAGATTGTAATTGTGCTGGTCCCTTGTGTAGAAAATGATGATCATATTTTTATGATAAACGTCAACATATTTTATCGTAATTATTTTATTTTCATGGTTAGCTTATATCTATTACTGAACAGAGAATTACTTGAAGGATGAGTCATATTCTTATTCATACTTAAAATCCTAGTTCCTATAATTAGGAAAGAAACTTACCCTCTCTCGATTTCATCTCTAGATACACTCTCTAACTCCTCCATAATACACACATGTACACACACATGTGCACACACGCATGCGCGCGCGCACACACACACACACACACGCACACGCTCCAAAAGAAAGACCTTGTTCATGTGACTGGACAGTTTATGGAACACATGAAGCCATTTTTCACTAGGGAATAGGATGGCGTGCATTTACATATGTTTACTCTTTGTTCTAATTCTTTGTTGACAGAAATTGGATGATTGTGAATTTGGGAAGAGTAAGAACAGTATACCTCGCCTCGCTTTCCAGTCTACGATGTGTTCTCTAATGCACTTCTTTCCACAAAGTTCAGTGTTGAGACTTACCGAGCACTAGATTAACTTCAAAATAGTGATCTTACATATAGCTTCTTTGGTTAGGAACTCCAATAATAAGAGGACTGGAAGGTAGAATTTAGATTTATACATAGACGAACCACACACCGAACTCCAGGACAGTGTCTGGGTAAGAGCAGGTGTTCAATACAGTTTTTAAAATAAATTGATAGAAACTTGAAGAAAAGTTGCAATAGAACATCCAGAAGGTCTAGTAGAAAACAAAACTGGACAAGACCAAGTGGTATGTATACTACCACGTATGTATGTAATAAGAGCATAAGTACCTCTTAATACAGGTAAAAGCCTTTCCACCTTGAGAGAGGATTTGTGGGTTAGTATAAATTGATGAGAACATAAATGGGAAACTAGTCCATGAGAGGTCTTTGTGCTTTTGTAAAGAAAAGTTATTTTCTTCTAATGAAGGAATATGAAAGAGAGAGTTTCTACCATGAGATTTTTGCAATGTCTTTTCTAAGATAATGAGCAAAGATAGTTTATTGGCAGGGTTAGATTTATAATATAATTGGGGAATAGAAATTTTTCATGGGGCGGAGAAGGAAAATGAACCCTCACCAGCAGTAAGCAGCAGGAGGCAGAGAAGATGATGAGATCCCACAGCAGAGCGGAGAGCCAGTATGCGAGGACATAGACCCCACTCAGAAACTGGATGTGCTTGGCCTTAGAGACTCTCTCAGTCACTGTCAGGAGACAAAAGCCACTGATGAAAAGAGCCATGCCAAAATGTATATTTATGGCCACCTGATGTTCATTTGACAACCTACAAAAAACAAAAGTAGAAATATCAAAAAATCAACATAGCAGAAAATACAAAATTCTGTCAGTAACTATGTGTTAATCATACAAATGTAATCAGAGTGGGAGAAATGCATTTCAAGTATAAAACTCTATTCTAAAGGAAATGACGACATACATTTCACTGTATTCTTTGGGAGTAACGCGTGGCTGAGGTTTGTTGGACACTGTCAAGGAAGCATCAGGGCCAGAAACTGTCATGAAAAGAATATTGTCTAATATTGCCAAGGCCAGGGATGGCGAATGGTATGCTTGATTGTTGAACAGACAGGTAAATGTTATTTCATTTGTCGTCGCCTCAATGGAAAATGCGACAATGCATAAGCGAATACAATCTTCATTTTCTATCAAGTATTGCAGTAAGTTACCTAGAATGAAGAAGCAATATTGGCCAGTTTATCCACAAAGCAGATCATCTACCATACATGCTGGGGAAGAAAAACAAAATAATTTTACTTGGTTCTTATTCCTTTCAGTTTTCTCTTCATGATTATTTCAAATGTTTGCCATTCTCCTCAAGCACTGCATTGCATCATTAAATTCCAAGCTCTCTCTCTTCACAGCCTGTAAGCTAAACTCCTACCTCACTGAAAAAACACATGGTATAAACTCTTTAAACATATCTGTCGAAAACTGAGATAAGTCCTTTCACTTACGGCTCCATGGGGCTTACAAAGGGCGAGACCCTGGGAGTAAGAGTGAATAAGAAATAGACCAGTTCTTATAAAAACTTCAACCAAGTCCCAAATCACTTAAATCCCTGATTGGATTTAGGTCTTCCCTTAATCTAACTGCCTATCAAAAATTAAATTAGACCTCCTCAAGAGAGTATAATCTTATGCAGAATATTTATAACTTTCACATACACTATCTGGCATTCAATGAGAAAATTGCTAGGTATACCAAAAAACAGAACCAAGAAAAAGCACATAATAATAGAAACAGATCCATGGGTGAACTAGATATTAGAACCAGAGAATTCACCAGAGAAATGGAGCCCATAGAAAGAATAAATATGAACATTAGAACGGAAATAAAAACACATTAATCACAATTAAGAATTCAATTAATTACAATTAAGAACTCACAGCAGGTTGGATATAAATGAAGAGTGGACAGGGAACTGGAAGACAGGTCGATTACAAAAGACAAACCAAAACACAGTGAGAAAGAGGACGGAAAATGAGAGAAACATAAATTAACAATGTTAGCTATGACACAGGAGAAATCACTACAGATTCTGAGACATCAAAAGGATACTGAAGGAATGATACAAACAACACTACGTGCATAAATTTGACAATTAGGATAAAATAGACCACATCCTCAAAACACACAAACTACAACAACTCACCCAATATGACATAGATCATCTGAATTTATAACTATTATGGAAATTTAATTTATAAGTAAAAATTCCCACCAAAACAAATCTCTGGGGCCAGATTTTCTACTAGAGAATTCTAATATTTAAGAAAAAAAAATCGACATTAATTATACATAATATGTTTCAGAAAGAAGAGGGAACATTTCTCAATTCATTTTATGAAGCTGCTAATACCCCGAGAGCAAAACCGTACGGAGGCAGTACAAAAAAGGAAAATTACAGACCAATGTCCTTCATGAATATAGCTGTAAAACTCTTTATCAAAATATTAGCAAATATTATTCAGCAATATAAAAAATTGTATGGAGGCAGTACAAAAAAGGAAAATTGCAGACCAATGTCCTTCATGAATATAGTTGTAAAACTCCTTATTCAAAATATTAGCAAATATTATTCAGCAATATAAAAAGATAATTATACACTGTGACCAAGTGGGAAATATTCCATAGTTACAAGGTTGGTTCAATATTTAAAAATCAATGTCATCTACCATAGTAATAGGCTGAAGAAGAAAAATAATATAATCACATCAATCTATACAGAAAAAAATCATTTGACAAAATGCAGTACTCATTCATGAGGAGAACTGAGAAAATAGGAATAGAGCCAAACTTCTTCAACTATATTTAGAATGCTACAAAATCCCTACAGCCTACACTACACTTAATGGTGAGAAACTGCACACTTTCCCTCTAAGACTGGGAATGGAAAAACAATCTCCACTCTCACTGCTGTGAGTCAACATCGTGCTTGAGGTTCTATCCAGCGCCATAAAGCATGAACAGGAAATGCCAGGCTTACAGATCATAAAGGAAGAACAGAAATGGCTTTTGGTTGCAGAATACATGATTGTCTCTAGAAAATCTCAAGGAATCAACAAAAAATGTCTAGGATTAATAAATGAGTTCATCAAGGTTGCAGGATACAAGATAAACTTACAAAAATCAACTGTTTTCTATGAACTAGAATAAATATATGGACACCGAAATTTAAAATACGATGCTATTTAAATTCGCTCAAAAGTGAAATACTTGACTATAATTTAAGAAGATACATGCAGGACTCATATGATGAAAAGTATCCAGCACTGATGAAAGAAATTGAAAAAGTTCTAATTAAATAGAGGCACATATTGTGTTCATGGATTACAAAACCCAACACAGTTAAGATGTCAACTCTCTCCTTATTGATATATAGATTTAATCCAATTCTCATCAAAATTCCAAAAAAATTTTTTGTAGGTATAGCCAAGCTTATTGTAAAATTTATAAGGGAAATCAGAGAAATTAAATGATTTTGAAAAACAAAAATAAGTAGGAGGAGTCAGTCTGCCATATTTTAAGCAAAATATTGGTAAAGTAACATATATAGATTAATGGACTAGAATAGAGAACTCAAAAATAGATCCTCATATGCCCAACTCATTTTTGATAAAGGTGGAAAATAATTAAATGGATTTCATCACTCAACAAAGTTGCTGGACAATTGGACATCCATAGGCACAAAATGTAACCTCAATGTACATCTTACACTTTATATTAAAATTAATGCAAAATGGATCATGAACTTTAATGTAGAGTGTAAAACTATACTTTTAGAAATCTATAAACCTTTTAGAAGAAAATCTTCAGGATCTAGGGCTACCCAAAAAGGTTTCGGACTTGACACGAAATGCACAATTCGTAAAAGAAAAAAATTAATAAACCGTTTTCATCAAAATAAAACCTTCGTCTTGCAAAACCTGTTAAGATGGTGAAAAGACAGTCGACAGTACGAGAGTAAATAGATAAAGATCTCACAAAAGTCAACAGAAAACACCATTCACCTTTATAAGGAGCAAAAAACACGCGCACACATTTTTGGCAAATCAAGCACCAGAAAAGATGTCAAAATGAACACTAAGGCAAAGCACATAAAAACAACAATGAAATATCACTACATACCGACCAGAATGGCTAAAATCAAGAGGGTCTCTCTTGCCTCTCATTGAGCTGCCTCTGTAAAACTGGCAACTAACAGGAAATGAATGGAGCAGGTGGCCAAACATTCAATTAGGGTCCCTCTTTACAAGTCACATGACCCCATCTTCATCTAACAGTCATCTCTCTTCCCTTAATGGGCCTCACCTTGCACTTCCTTAAGTGTGTGTCTGTCGGACTCTAGCATACTCTTGAGATGCTTTAAGAAAATCGGAGTCAAATTAGAATTCCCAGAAACGGAAAAAGGTACGACGGTTGGACCGTATTGACCCAGGTCCATTTGCCTGGCCTCGTCGTCACTGTTCCATGAAACCTCTGTCTCCGTGAGAAAGGCGAAGGAGCCGAGCAGCGCCAGCGTCTGCAGCAAGACCAGCTGCCAGTTGCGCCAGCTGAACATCGCCCGCTTCATGAGCATGGCCAGGAACTGCTGCTGGCAGAGCAGGTACTAGATGGGGGAGAGAGAAACGCAGCGTCATGGCAGTCATGGAGCTAACCAGGCCATCGTGTCAAAATAAGGGTGGACGCTTCGGAGTTTTATGGTAGAAGATATGTAAGGTTTGTATAAATAAATGCTTGGTACGGAATCCAAACATAGTATGATAGTGCACGAGAGTTTGATCAGTCTTCTGTTTGTACAAGGCAGGAGTCCTTGAAGCTAGTCCCTGCATTCCTGTGTTTTCCATGGTTGCTTTTTGCTACAATGACAGGGTTGAGTGATTGCAACAGAGACCGTATGGCCCACGGAGCCTTACATCTTTATTATCTCCTTACATAAAGTTTGCTGACCTCTGCTATACCTATCACATAAAATATTTAAGTTCTGGCTTTCGATATAACATACTTAAAATCTCACTTAATCTTCTGATAGTCAAGAAAACCAGGATGCTTTATAGAAGGAATAGATAATTAGAAGGAGAATGAAATAAATGCTGGGCAACTCAAAGAGGCTTCTTTCCCATGCTGAGGATCGCACTGATTAGAGAACAATTCTTTATGTAAAATCAATCCTCAATGCAAAAACTTAAAAATATTGTGCATGCTCGATTATCAAGAATCGCGCTCACTGCAGCTACAATGAACTAACAAATTTCTGGGTTATCATCTACGGCCATGCCACCCTGAACAAGCTCGATCCTGTCTGACCTCGGGAGCTAAGCAGGGTTGGGCCTGGTTAGTACTTGGATGGGAGACCACCTAGGAAGACCAGGTGCTGTAGGCATAAAAAATAAAAAAAATAAGAGAGTGTAAGCTGACAAGGTCCTTGCAATCTGTGAGGTCAACCAAGAGTTGCCTTGCCTAAAAAAAAAAAAAAAAAGAAAATAGGGTTATCAATCTGAAAAAACCAAAAACATTCTAAAAACGAACAAAAAAGAAGAGAGGAACAACAATGTGAGACCGACAGCTGAGTCCTTTATCTAGTGTCCGTTATCTCTGCACCAGGAAATTAATTAGGTTTTGGTTCAGGCTGCTCCATATCTGGTCAGGTCTACAAATGCTGAGAATTCCATGTTCCTTTTGTTTAAGTATTAAAACAAAACAAAACAAAACATACCTCTTGTGCTCCAACCAAATAAACATCAGGTGTTTAGGCAAAGGTGCTCACCCCAGTATTAAACATAACAGGAGGGCTTTCGTTCACGGGGGAAGAATCTGGCCTCTCATTTCTGGACATGTTCCTATTCTGGTTCTTGATTGAGTCTTCGGTCATCAGAGAGGGAGACTGAGGTTGGGGAGCTAGGATATCTGTTTGTAAATCTTCCATATTACTGACCCTACATTAAAAAAATACAAAGAATTTCATGTCAACGTTACCCCAGCATATCTTATTTGGAGAATGTGAGTCACAACCCCCAACTCAGAAGTCTCCTTGGTTTGCTTACTGACGGGGAGGGCCACGGTAAGTGACATGACAAGTATGGTGGAGCAGTGGTTCCCAGTTGCTGGTCACCAGACTGCCACCAGTCCGTGGCGAAGTGGGAAGAACAAGGTCAATGTAATGAGCATTTCGTTAAGTTGAACTCATCGAAGTTAAAGATCGTAGTCTAATCCATACTTTAACTACCCATTCCTTTATAAATGATGGTGGTTAACACTTTTTTCAGTGTTTTCATTGCAAAAGAAATTACGTAAAAGAAACGACCTCTTAAATTTCTAATGCGTGAATCTGAAAGTGTGGTAAACTGACAAAGGACACTGAGACATGGCTCTTTCTCGGTCGACATGTCAGTCTCCCTGTGCATTGTGGCTCACCTAAAGAAGACCTCTTCCATGGTGGTGACAGAGGCACCGAAGCTGGCTATGCCCAGCTCTGCCTGCCTTTTCTCCAGATCAGTAAACAGAGCTTCAAAGCTAGAATAAGAATAGAAATGGGGATGAGGATGGGGTAGGGAGAGAGGAAGGGAGAGAGGAAATGCTAGCACGAAATCAGATTTACTTATTTACATCTTTCTATTCTACATTTATTCTAATTTCCCCTCAGGACTGGCGAAAATGTAGATCATTCTTCACTTCAATGCTTCATTATAATTTCGTGCCTCTGGTAAATCAAAAAGGTGGGGAGAATGGTAAAAAAAAAAAAAAAAAAAAAATGAAAATGTAGATCGTTCTTCACTTCAATGCTTCATTATAATTTTGTGCCTCTGGTAAATCAAAAAGGTGGGGAAAATGGTAAAAAAAAAAAAAAAGAAGAAAGAAAGAAAAAGAAAAGAAACTAGTAAATTGCTACAGCAAATTGCTTTCTATTTAGTTCTTGGAAACAAAAATTTGGTCTTCTAATAAACTATCAAGAGATCTTATTTACGCTGATAACTCTAGCAGGTTGACACGGATGAACTTATCGCACACATGGTTCCTCGGTCAATTATTCAGTAAGTCAAAAAAGAAAATCATATCCAAGTTACTAGAGAAAAAAATACTCAAAAATAGAAAATGGATACTGTTGAATTATACATCTGAAACTTACTGGATTTTGTGAACTGGTATCACCATAATTAAAATAAATTAAAAAAATAGAAAATGGAGTAGATGCAATAGAAGCTGAAGATGTAAATAGAAACATGTGATTTGACAGCCAAAAAAATCTGTAGAAATTGAGCCAGATGAAAGGTCAAGACATCGAGGCTTTTAAAGGACAGTTTTCCTGGGAAGATTTTATGGCATTTTACATTCAATAGATTATCTTTTCCAGAAAACTCCAGGTCTCCAAATCATCCGTTACATTACCACCGAGGAGCAACTGAACCTATCTTCACACACTGTCAGTGTTGAGAGAACTCAAAATTTCCTCTTTGGAAGCTCTATTAAAATTTCCTCCATATTTGAGCTTAAACTGTTTTCCATTCAGTTTTGCCCATTCGTTCTAATCCTACGCCTTTAAGTCATATAGAACTGATATAATCTCTCTACGTGACAGCATTTCATGTGTTTTAAATCCACTTCCTCCTATGGCTTTTTTTAAAAAAGCTATGTTCAAGACATTTATTTTTATTAAACTTATTGGGGTGACATTGGTTAATAAAATTATATAGGTTTCAAGTGTACAATTCAATAATATGTCATACGTATACCGCATTGTGTGTTCACCACCCAAAGTCAAGTTTTCTTCCATCAACTTATATTTGACCCCCTTCGCCCTTATCTACCTCTCCCCTCTCCCTTTTCCCTCTGGTCACCAACTAAAGTGTTGTCTGTGTCCATGGGTCTCTGTTTGACTTTTCAGCTAGGATTCACCCATATCTGCTTCTTTTAGGTTAGTTATGAAATTAATATGTGTGCATTGAACAAAATTCAGAAAATGAACATATAAAAAAATAAAAATCATCATACTGTCATCCCCAGGGACAGCTACTCTTAATATATGGATATTTGTTTTCCTAATCACATGAGTTTTGTTACATATTATGTACGATATATAATACATATTATATATGACATTTAATAAATATAATGTACAT